TTAAGCTTTTCTTTGATTTCAGTGGCAGACTTCTTCTTTCGGATAATGAGCAGTTTGGATTTATCTGCGTTAATTGAAATACGCCCTTTGGTACACCAAAATTCTATTTGCGGCATGACTTGTTGAAGTTTCCTGACAGCTTGATTAGGACACATAGATTTTATAGCAAGCGCCGTATCATCTGCATAACAGCCAATGAAGTAATTGTAGTTAAAGCCTGTTTTAGGGAAGTCAGTCACAAAGAAGATATAAGATCGGACCTAAAATTAACCCTTGCGGGACGCCGGCGTGAATTCGTTTGACTTCAGAAATCTCATTTCCAATAGAAACATGAAAACTTCTGCCTTTCAGGAATGAGTAGATGAGACACGTTAAAGTTTTGGTGAAGCCAAGGGAACGGAGCTTGAAAATTAGACCCTCGTGCCAGACGCGGTCAAAGGCTTTGGCCACGTCTAGCACGAGTAAAGCCACATTTGTCTGTTATGTAACGCACTGCCGATGAACTCAGAAAGTCTGACCAATTGTTTCGTGGTGGAAAGGGTTTTTTCGGAAACCAAACTGTTCTTCTGGTAGTTTCTCTAAGTATGGATGGATTCTATGATAAATGATGCGTTCAAAAATTTTCCCCAAAACGGGAAGCAAACTGATAGGTCTAAATCCTTCTGGGCGAGTGGTAACCTTGCCGGCTTTAGGTAAGACAATCATTTTGGCTTTTTTCCAGGCAAGCGCAAGAGGAAAGTATCTGATAGTTAAGCAAGCATTTAAAATACTGGCATATCTTGCAATACAATTTTTCGGTAAGTTCTTGATCGCTAGGTTGGTTGTGCATCATAACCCGGTATTTCACGTGGTAGCCAGTTTTGGACCAATGAGCTTCCTGCTCTTGTTCTTCATGGTGAGCGTAATTGGCATTTGTTTCGCGGTCCCTTTCGTTTCATGTTTAATTAATCGCGACAAGTTTAATTAATTTCTGATATTTCACTTCGCGATTTTTATCACGCATTAAATTTGGATTGATGTTCACGGCAACTATCGCTTTTACATGAAAATGACTCAAGCTATAAGTAGCCTCGAATATTATGATTTATTTAACCTCTGTGATTAAGAAAATTCAAGTGCATAGTTTTTTTTTAAATATTTTTTCATATAGACTGCAATAAAAAGTGCTGACTTCTATATACATATATAATTGTGTAAATTTTCTCATATACATAGTTTTATGTAAAGATAATATTTGGGCTCAAAATGCTTATCACTATTTCTTTCTTGATCTTATTTACCACTATTAAGTAATATTCCCATGAATATTTTTGAAGTATCCAAAATGTTTTGTATTTATTTTAATTCTTTCAATCAGGTAGTGAAATCTTCACATTTGCTTATATTTGATATAACTTCGCAATGAAAATTTTCAGAAGAATCGACGATGCTTTAATTATTTTGTACAGAAAATTGCGTGGCAAAATATTTTCAACCATTTTGCTTAAATCTTAAAGCATGCGACGAAAGTTCATGTTGACATGACAGAAATATTGTTGGATGCCCATTGGTCCATACCTAGAAGCCACACCCTCGTGGCTACAATAGATGTGCACTTGTGAAATTGCATGTAACCCGGTGCCTTCCTGTTTTTTCAGTTTCCTTATGATTTCTTGGATTTCATGTGGAGAGGTGAGTTCCAGATTGTCTTCTAAGTCCTCCTGTGAGGTAAACCAGTCATTAATGCAGTATCTTACATCCTAAGTAAGCGAAGTCTATGTCACAAGGACTCTTATTCGGTTTAAACTGATTTTCAAAATGTTCTGCAAAGGCATTTGCTTTTTCTTTATTAGTGAGAGCCACGCTATTATTGAAGTGAAGTGGTTTGTTCGCTACAGCCTTTCCTTTTAGATTTCTGACAAATGACCAGAACGCATTGTCTGGTTCATTAAAATTCATGATTTTTCATCCCAAAGGTCATTTCTGAGCTGATGAATTGATTGCTTGATGTCACGATTCAGTCTATTAATTTCCGTTTTAGTACTCGGGTTCCATGTTCGATTCCAGGCTTTCCTTAATCTATTTCTTTCTCTGATTTTATCTTTGATGTGGGGGGGAAGTCTTCCAGATGTCTGTTTAATGGGAATGTTCTTGGTGGCAGTATTGACTGCATTAAATGATACTGTTAGTAAACAGGTGCACAGCTAAGTCTATGTCCTGCTTGGTTCTTAAAGCTGTGTTCAGGAAGGTACTATTACTTAAGATCAGATTATACTGCTTCCAGTCTGTAATCTTTTCTTTCCTGCGTCATTTTGTCTTTTAGGATTCCAAGTGTGGCCATTACAGGTAAATGATCCGAGCTTAGATCATTAACAACTTCAAGATATACTGGAATTGAAGCGGAGGTAAGGAGTAGATCAAGAATGTCCCCTCTGTTCGGGTCGTGTGCAAGATAAGTGTATTCCTCAGGCGCAAAGAAATAAACAGGTTCGTTGTTTATAAATTCAAAGAGTTGTTCTCCATTTGGGTTTGTTTCACGACAGTTCCATTCCTCATGTTTCGCATTAAAATCACCTGCTAATATAACAGGAAGATTTGTGAATAAGATGTCCTTTAATAATTCAGCTTCTAAAGGGTATCTGGGTGGGTTATAGAAGGCTGTGAAATAAGTGTTTCCATAACCTTGAAGAAAAAACGGAGACAGTGACATACTCTTGTCCATTATTTCTGTACTGTTTAATCATGATTGGATTGATAATGATTGGAGAGAGTTCTTTACGTATATCGTGGTAAGACTACTGAGGGAGAAAATTATCACTTATCGTAAACTTTACCACGTGACAAAACAAATGACGCCAGAAAGCTCCTTCTCATGTCTTTATTCTTCTAACCAATAGCATCGAAGCAGCTAACACGGCAGCGGCTACAGCACACCATGTGACTTGATGCGATAATCGCAATCGTTTGGTTTTATCTACGTTCGATACCAAGGAGGTTAGAATAGAAGGAGGGAGGGTTCGCAGTTTCCTCCACTATCGTCGAATGAAACTCCACGGAACAAGCAGCGTCCATGTTTGTTACTTCAAAACATTGCAATACGGCAGTGAAACGTACGTGTTTGTAAGCTGTTCTATGCATGCATTTTCCAGTAAAAATATGTTAAATTTATAATGAAATGCTTCTCTATTGTTAGTTTTTTGTTTTAAAGATATAAAGATGATATCCGTAATTTACTAAGTACAGAAAATCATTAAGAAATATTTCGAAATCTAAATGCATGTGCATAACATTAAAGCCTTTAAAAATTATGATTCTGCATAATTTCAAGAATTTGCTTAGGTTTTATTAGCAACTTCTCGGGTATTATACTTTCCAATTGTTTCTTTAAGAAGTGATATTTCTGATTTATTCGCAATATTATTATAATTTATTAAAGAATCATTTTTACCTGAAATTAATAACAGATAATTATCTAAAAAATGGTAACATGTTGCTTTTTTTTTAAATGAAAGTTTTAAATCGATTCTTTTCACAACCAATAATCAACTTATATCAACAAGAAAATAAATATTAATAAAATAAAACAGATTTATGTGAATTCAATGATTTCAGTTTATGCGCGTTTCATATTTATGAATCTCAGAGAAATTACCTTGAATTAAGCTGAATTACAGAAATATACCTATATAAATTTTCGATATATCTTTTCACATGTTCAATTGTGTAAATATTTAACTTACATTTATCGCTATACTGCCCAGAAATTTGTAAGCTTATGCAAAAACATTTTAACAACAGAACAGTTTATCTTGATCAAATGCACAAATTATATCCGTAACAGTTCACAAAACTTAAGAATGATTGTAATTAATACATAAAGAAAAGCGTTGCTTTATTTAACACCTTCACAATTCATAAAAATGGTAACAATTGATTTCTTACTTTTCATGAAAATTATAAAACGAATTATCTAAACGTTCAAATTATACAGTTTAAATCCTAGCATATATCATTGTATGTTAAGGAACGAAGATACCAGCTGTAAGCAAAAACATTAAAATGTATTTAACATGTTTCGATTATTATTAAGTCATTTTTGTCACATCTGGAAAGAAAACAACATGAATTGTGATATTTTTTTAACATACTTATAAAATTACATAGAAAAAAAGAAAATCAATACTTACGAATGAACAGTAATCCCAGTAATATTTTTCGAAAATCTATTTTGTGCATCCATATGCAATATAAGCTGACAAGCTTCAAAAAGAAAAGGGAAAAAATGTTACAATTACAGACTTCCTTGCGCAAGTCACAGCGATAACAGTAACATGGCCGTCAAGCTTCACCGTTTAAGTTGAACCTTCCCTCCTTCTATTCTAACCTCCTTGTTCGATACCGATTTGGTACTTTTAGACGATGATGCAAAAACTTATAAAAATTACATCTCTAACTACATATTTCTGAATGGCGACTTCATTTATACCTGAAGGTAAATCATGATTTACAGAATTTGAAAGCATTACAGAATTCTCTCCCTGTCATGTTTTTAAGTAATTAGTTTAAAATATTGCGCTTCTGATATGAAACCCTTATTAAAAGTTACAGAATAATCAGTTTTGGTTTTAATATTTTAAAACTGTTAATTGATCAATGCAAGGCTTTTGTAATTTATTTATAACATTAGTGATTTTGAATTATTCAAGGTTGTCATTTTTGATCATAATATCAAATCTTACAATTTCGGTATACATAATGTCCCATAAAGTAAAGTAGTTCGCCCACCAGTGGCCAAGTGGTAAAGTCGCTGAATACTGGTAGTTCAGTCTGGGTCTCGAATCGCAGCGAGCAGATTGTCTGCATCGATGTTTTCGTGTTTTCCTCATGTGTAACGTGTATAAAAACCAGTTTGCCTTAGGAACTCCTCCACGAAGTCTTCCCTTCTCTTAGGCAGATAGCAAGTGCTCTGCCGTAATTAAATAAACCAAACTTATGAAGTAATAGAAAATGACGTGCTAGAACTGCTATCACAATCCAATACATACAGTTATGATAAAATAATGGTGGAATGGAATTAGATAATAGTACAATTTTTTATTTAAAAGAATATTTTATGCTGGATGCTGTTATTTGCGAAAACAGTTGCTCTCAGGTGTTGTTTCATAAATTACAGCTTGGTCAAGTATTATTTTTTCATTTCTTTTTTTCTTTTCTTTTTTTTTCTTTTTTTTTTTTTTTTTTTTTAAATTTGACTGCTTTACTAAACCTTCATACATTATGTATAACTGAAAATATAAAATGGTCAGAAATTAGAAAGATTAAATTTTAAAATGTATCAAAGATTTCATAAAAGGAAATGTTAATAATATTTTATAAAAGCCCTAAACTTTGTACATTTATTTGATTTCAGTAATTCTGTAAAATGTCATGTTTGTATTTTTATAAAAATGTTTTCATAGGACTCCCCTCCTTTCTCTCAAAATTTGAATCTAGTTGATTTTTTCATGTATTATTATGTAATTCAAGGCTAATGTTATTATGCTAGTAATAAAAGTATTAATTTAAGATTGACAAATAGTAGAATTGTATCCGACACTTTATTTTTTATGTACCAGTAATGCAGTATTTTGTTCTGAGGAACCTTTACATAAAGGTGTGCAGATTATTATAATTTTGCTATTCATTTTTAAAGTTAAAAATTTGACTTATTTCAGTTCAAAATTATGCATTTAAGTCGCATGCATTTTCAGTCTTAATGCATTTAAGTCGTGTTATTCAGAAACAAGCAGTCTATCATAAGAATGTTTGAAGTTATAAATGGTTTAATGTTCAACAGATTGACTATCATGAATTGTGTGAAAACTTTGGTTATTTTATTGCAAAACAGGTAGTTGTTCTATCATTGCACAAGAAACTAATCTAGTAAAAATAAATTATGATCTAGTTATAGCAATATTTCTAGGTTAATGCCGAAATTATTTATAATGTTTCTTCTATAATAATTTATTATGTTTCTGTGTTTCTGAGTCAGTACATCTATCATGGTCACAGTCCTAGTTAATACAGTTTAAAGTCCAGGTACAGTGATTTCTAATAATGCTCATTTTAGAAAGTGTAGAAAGATTTGAGGCCATTCTAAGTCCAGGCTTCTATGTTCAGGCCTGTGGTCCAATGTGGTGCTCAGATTCTTGTTATGATTGAAATACTGAGAATAGTATTCCAATTAAAACTAATTCCAAGAAAATTAATTGGCCTAGATTTTATTTTAGCTGAAGTGCTTTCAGTGACTCAATACTATTATCTTTAGCTGCAAACAAATCAAATACTAGTACCAGAACAGAAGAAGAGAGGAAGAAATTTTAATAATTACTTGTAGCTAACCATGACACATGAATGCAGGAGAAGCTTCTAGTAAAATCTAATCTTTCTCAATTATCACGTGTTTTTAAATTCTCATATGGTATTGAGAGATTATCATGAGACACATGTGAGAGATCTCAAGGTTTGAGATAAATTCAGGTGTTCTTTAACAACAGTTAGGGCAATGTTCATCCTAATGTTTTATGTTGGAACATAAAAATGTGTTCCACTCGGTTTGAAAGAATTATTCAAGTGCCCGATGTTAATTGTTTTAATAGTGGGTTTTGTGCGAAACGTGTGGGAAGAAAAGGACAAAGGGAGCGGGATGACTAAAACATTAAAAGATTGCAGAAAGTCTTCTTTAGTTGCACCACAGCCTTCACAAGCCAATGCTGTATGAAGAAACTTCCTCCAATAGATTCAGTTAGTCACTATGGTCCGTCAATGATTCATTTTTAGTCTTGAGATCTGCCTTTAAGCAGTCTATCCGTTTTGTGCGAGGTCTTCCTCTTTTCCTGGTACTCTCTGCACTTGCAAAGGTCACCTTTTTAGCAGGATACAAGTTGCCAAATCTAAAAATATGTCCAAGCCACCTGATACAATAAGATTTGACGACTCAGAGAATATTAGGTTGTTTGTGTCTTCCATATATTTCATGGTTAAACAAAATTTTCCATCTATTATTTTCTGTAACTGGGCTGTATATTTTTCTCAATTTTTCTTTCAAAGATTAAGAGTCTTTCTTCATCTGTTTTTGTTAATTGCCAGCATTCAATGCCATACAGTATGAAAGGTCTAATAAGAGTTGTATAAAGATTTATAACATAAAGATAAAAGTAACATAAATATTTATTTTTGTCTTGAAGTTTAATAATTTAGACACTAACAAATTCTTTAAACCATGATAACATCTATTACCTCTAAATAATCTGTTGTCAATTTCAAATTTAATATTGATTTATTGAGATTGTATATTTTTTTGGTTTAATCTTTGGAATATGGTAACAAGCAGTTTGGCGACATTTTGCTAGGCGATAAAGGTTACTACCTAGGACTTGGGGAATAATGTGAGAAGTATCCAGATTCCGAATTACGCATTATTTTGGGTGAGAGAAATGAGAGATCATGAGATATATCATGTGACATTTAATGGACGAATCAGTTGTTCTTTAATCGGAAAAGGGGGAAAATTTGTAAAAAATATCTGCAGTTCTTTATAGCATTTTCTATTTAGGTTCATTGTGTGTTGTGTGAAAGAGTGTTCCTTAATATTTGGATCCCATGGCCCTAATAAAGTAAATCCGAAATTTTATTGAGTTTATGTGTAATTGAAAAGAATGCTTAATTGTGGATAAGTATGAAGTCCAACATGTGGGTATGAAATGAGATTGTGTGAAAGGAAGGATATTACAGATAAGTTTGAATGGCGGTGCAAGAAATCTGGTGAAAATGGACATTTTGTGATCCGCATGCACTCAAGATTCTGTAGAAGATTAGGTGAGTTAGTATTTTAATTATTTGAGGATATTATTTTTTATGCATTGTTCTAAATGTAAGGAGTAAATAAATTAATACGGTATTATTGGAAAATTGTTATTAGCAATGATTTAGTTTAAAGTAATTAGGATTGTAAGCTAATTTTTATTAATTTAATGTATGTGCTTATTTATATTTTAAGTATTGTTTTTAATTTAATTATATTTTAATTTAATGATCGTGATTTTGAGAGTTTTATGTTTGTAGTATTTTGGAATTCGTTTGAGTAGAAGTAAATGTGCATGGAAAGAATTTAAGTATTTGACACTAAGTATTTGTAATCATTTTTAATGTTTCGTTATAAATTCGTTGGTGACGTTTATAATAGATAATTTAGAGGTAAAAGTTTTTGGATATTTTATTTATTTTATACGTGCAAATGTTCATCCTTGGAAAGGGTATATACATTTTCGTGATCAGGTAATTTCATATATTTCAGATCAGGTATTTGTCCTTTTTAACAAATTTAAAGATTCACAAAATTTTCATGCATTTTCGTGAAATTTTTCTAATTTATGAGAAAAAAGCAGTGTACATGGATATAGTGAAGAGTGTGTGCAATGCCACTTTTGTGCAATTTTGGGATGTTTTTTTAAGTAAAAATAAGTCGACATGTATATGGTTTAATTATATTTTAATTAAATGATAGTTATTTTGTGAATTATATGTTTGTAGCAATTTGGTATATGTTTCAAGTGGAAGTAAACGTGCATAGAAATAATTTAAATATTTGAGACTAAGTATTTGTAACCATTTTTAATGTTTTGTTATAGATTCGTTGGTGACATTTATAATAGATAATTTAGAGGTAAAGTTTGGATATTTATTTATATATGGTGGAAATGTTCATCCTTGGATAGGGTATATAATTTTTCACGATCAGGTAATTTCATATATGTGCTTTTTACCGAGTTTAAAGATTCACAAAATTTTCCTGCATTTTCGTGCAAATTTTTGTAATTTATGAGAAAATAGCAGTTTAGATCAAGAGTGTGCACAGTGCCATTTTTATGCAATTCTGGGATGTTTTTTTAAGTAAAAATAAGTCGACGTGTACATGGTTACTGTGTATGTGCGATTTTGAAAAACGCAGCTAGGAGTTTGCGATTCTGCACTTTTTCCCAATTTTGCAGTTAATATTTGTCATGATTAAGCAGTTTTGTTCCATAAAATTTCTAGCATAAGTGTAATTCGGCTAGTAGATTGTTGGAAAAAGTGTTGAGTAAATAAAAAGAAAAGAAGCATGTCTTTACTTCGTGAAGACAAAATGGCGGCAAAAAAAACAAACAAACAGAGGATTGCTGTAGCAAAGTTGGTCGCCAAATTTTTGCCAAAAAATCACCAAGTTACCATAATCCAAAGATCAACCGATGATAGTACCGAGATACGTAAACTGAGAGATGCTCTCGAAAGTGTAAGAATTTATTTGTGATAGGGGATTATGTGCTGTACTAGTTACTGCCGAAAATTTTGTTTTGCACTCATGTTTAGTCCAATGTCTCTGGTTGCAAAAATAAAAGTCTCCTCAACCACCTGTTTACTTCTGCCAATAATATTGATATCATCAGCATATGCCCATTGAATGGGAATATGCTC